TCTTCCATGGTTTTTGGACAACTGTGGAAACTAGATAAATAGTTAATCTATAACAATAGCTCATAGAGATCTATATATATTGCAGTATATTCTGGCAATTTGCATATCCACGAACCGATACAAAATTTAACAGAAATAATTCTTCATTTAAAGCCAAACAGTAATTTTTTGCTTTCATCTTATTTCTCTTTCATAGTGTCTGGGTTTTCCACTAAAGTCAACAGGATTGCGCAATTAGAAAGAACAAGAATTTAAAAAAAAAATACTTTATTACATGAATGTAGAAAAAAATGTTTTCCCAAGTATTTTATGGAACTTTATTATTATTTTTAAACACATTTTTTGAAAGTAACCTACAGTAAACAAAGATTTATTGTTACATAAATAAACAATGAGACAATTACAGCCTCTTTATGGAGACCATATTAGTCATGCACATCTAATGAAGCATTACTAAGCTATCACAGGGAGGTAGCCTGATGTGTGTGATTAACAAAATAATACTCATAAATAGCTAATGAACAATGATGGTCCTTTAAAAATTTTGCATATCTTGCTATATTGAGTGTTATGGTTTTTGTTGTTTCTATGGAACACATTAACCACTAAGTTCCACCCTACAAAGGAGAGTATTAAATAGCACAATGCAACTATTTGTATTTTTGCCTTCTACAGACCATGCTTTTGAAAATATAAAAGAACTCTCATGGAAGTCTGCTAATGAAGAATACATTTCAGCTTGTGCCTTACTGCATTTGAAAGATGATGTCTTGACATGTCACCAGGGTACAGGGTGACAGAACAAATGATCAAAAATTATTTTCATATAATATGCAGCCATGAAATCTCTGAATTTGCATTAGGTAGAAAAAGTGGGTTTAGTAATAATTGTGGTAGATTTTTTATGTTAAAAAACCAATAATGTATTTCCTTCAGGTCAGGTATATATTTGGCAAACGTATTTTGAAGAGGGCAAATGAGAGGGATGGTCAATGTCTGACAACAGACAAAAAGGTACATTAAGAAGAAAAAATCCATGTGTAATGGTAGCTTTTGGCATACAATGGGAGAACATCCTGTTAGTCAAATTAAATACAGTTTTGGATTATACAGCTAACAACAACAGAACAATTTGTGTTGGCCTGCCTACGTGAGCAGGCTTCTTCAGTACATGAGCGAGTCTGTATAACACTATATGCAAACCATGGGTTTGCAGGGTGAACTCTGCCAAGCAGGTTCTATCACGGTCTAAATACATTGACAAGTATTTGAAAAGTGGTATGAAGGACCTATTTAGATTAATCCATGGAATAGAATGATGAAATGTAAGAGATGAGTGTTATTATTTCTACTGCAGTGCTATAGATGAAATAAATTGTATCACATCTACAGTGCAAACTCCCAAATCCTTGTATTTTCTTGGTGAGATAAATTCTTCCCAAATGACATTCAACCTTCAACCTAATTTCTTTCATGGATAAAATTACTCAAAGGACAGAATTCCTGATGGCTGGAATAAGAGCATTATCAAAATCAATATTTTTCATGACTATTAGGTCTGGAACACATTAAAGAGAGCTGAAAGTAAAGTGGAAAAAACCTTGGTTATCGTTTTCAGTTGTAATCCAACTACAGCCCTTCATCTGTAATGAATTATGGAGCAATCCCCCTAAATCATCTGTATGAAGTCAGCTATGACACTGCCAGTTTTAAAAAATTTGCTAGTTTTGAGCTATAAATTGATTTTTTATTGTGATAAATTAAAATCCAATAGTAGCCTACAAGATACCAAACATACAGAAGCCTACATTTTTTTCAGAATATTTTTTCTCTTTTCTATCACATCAGACTGCCATTAAGGCAGACAGGATAGTGATAGCGAATGATAAAAAGTATCTCTCTAGAGAGGTAAATAACCTTTTCAAATAAACAATAAATGACACTGTGGCCCAAAATATCATTTTGGCAATTCCAAAATCACGGAAACACAGCTAAGGAAGAAAGCATTGTGGGGGACAGGGAGGGCTGTTAAAGGAGGTGAAAGTAAATGCAAGATTTTCCAGGCTGTTCCCTATTAAGGGCATCTTTTTTCCCCTGTTCCACAAATGTGAACATAAGTCTCCAAGCTTTATAAACTCTTAAGTTTAACATGGATCTCAGAAGACCTGTGTGAGCAAAACATAACCTATTTGCAACCCCTTTTGATTCCTTCCCAAAAGAGACAGGCTGAGCAACTGTGCATCCCCAGTTTTGCCAGTTTGTGGGATTTTCCTTGTTGCTTCTAAATCAAGGATGGGATTATCAATGTCCCACATTACCTAATTACATTGTCCTTGTTTTGCCTTATAGGAGGCTCCATATTATAGCAGTAACACTGTTTTCTTTGGGGGTGACTTTGGCACACAGACATCGACGTGAGACTGCATAGACAGTATTATTTACTACTACGACAGCTGACATCTCTTAGCATTACACCAGGAGAAGCCAAAGTCGTATAAATGAGACAGTGCATCACCCCTAAATATTTGTCTCTTGTGCTCTCCTTGCAGGCCCCAAGAGCCCAGAGACACTGCCAGGGTCTGTCCATGACCCGTTGCTGTCGTTACCCAATGTATTTCAGATGTTGTGATTGTACGTGACTACCAGCAGAAACAGGAATGAGATGACAACTGTAGGTTAGCAAAGCAGAGTTAGGCTGGATGAGTGAGACTATGAGAAAAGTGGGAAAAGGACATGAAACTCTGGGACATGGAGAGACCCAAACCGGGGAAAAAGCCAAAGGGATGGTGGCTGTGAAGAACTGGGTGAGGAGTTCATGCGTCTCTGCTTCAAAAGCTTGGCACAAAAAGCACGATTCTCCTGCTTTCAAAAAAACACGTAAAAATTGATGTCGAAAGCTCCCCGCTTGTCACAGTCCTGTTTCAAGAAGGACAAGTCAATACTCCTGTCCATCACTCCAGCAGCTCAGGGGCAGACATCTGGAAGGTGGATTTAAAGACTTCAGTCTAAGCTTCATGAGTGAGTGACAAGGTTACTATAAGGATGATATAGTTATGTCAGATTTAGAGTATAGGTTGTCAAAGTTGCGAAATGAAGGAGACTTGTTCTCACATCCCCACATCCTTAGTTGCAGATAGGAGAGTGTGCAGGATGCTGAAGAAAATGCAATTTGGCTAAACCACACCTTTAGTTCTAAACACATCCCCTTTTCCCTCTCTATTTTATGAAAAGAAATCCGATGTTTGTGAAACATTCAGAGACAAGTGCCACAGGACAAGTCTCTCTCCTTCTTCTTTATTTTCCCAAGAAAAGACTTCAGTCTTTCTAAGACTAAAGCATCTGTGGCCTCAGTGCAATTTGCAGATGAAAACAAGACCAAAATATTACCATATACTTCAGTGTATTACACTCTGTTCTGTACATTGAAGCTGGTATTCTCTGGCCAAAAAAAATGTATGTCATCGCATAGTTAAGTACTACCCTAATACAAATTTATTAGAGGACCCAACCACGACTACACTGGCAGCCCTAATCCTGACATTTCCTATCTTCTGAGCACAGGCTGTACTCTCAGCAATGTTCTCTTAAACACTGCTTTTGTACAAATACTTTACACATTCTGTACACAACACAATCCAAAAGAGCTTTTCATTACTAAATACTTGTATTATGTATCAGTGAGCTCAATGACATTGATTTTCTAATAATATAAATTAACTGGCAAAGATAATTTCATCTATCATCAGTAGGGTTTTATTTCTGGCATCATGTTAAATAGTTAATCTTTCAAAAGATTATATCAAGAGCTTTTTAAAATTCAAGGCAGAGCTTAAACTGCTGTAAAAATCTTCTTAATTAGGATTAAACCAGTTTGTGTGTTGTTGCTTTATATCTAAGTAGTATAATATTTTGCTTAGGTTTCTTCTTTCAGAGCAATTTAAAAAGGCAAACATGATACTGCTGTGGCAAAATCTGCATAAGGCATGGAAGTCTCCTGCAGCTTCCCTGACCAGTTGCTACTGGACGAGGGGACGCTTGGCAGCCTTAAACAGCAACATCAAACTTTCCAATATCTTTTATCTCCAATTCCATACTACATATACTTTTTCTAGCATTGATGATATAAAAGCTCTGATTCTTATGGTTTACTGCATACCTCACAGAAGACCGTCATTGCTCTTAATAGGAGTATATCATGTTATGGTGACTACAATTGCATTCATGCAGAACTACGGGCCTGATAGAAATTCTTAGGATCGCCCTGGGACACCTTTAGGGAAATCCCAGCTAAGTGTGTGCGGCTCCCAGGAGCTCCCAAGCTCCCAGTGCCCTTCCTTTTCTGTTCCCAGTTCAGGAATCAGAGGGGAAAACAAGCTCTCTCCTGGGGTTGTCCACAGCTCCCTATACCAGCTTGTTTTCTTTCTCTCAGCTTCCCATTACACAAGGGGCCCAATCCAAGACAATCCTAGTCTCTAATCCTAATCCCTTGTCATTAGACTTTCAAAAGTCACTTGCTACTGCCAAGGAGTCTTAAGAAGCATCCAAATAATGGGTGCAGCTGAGCCCAAGCTGGATGAGAAAACCCACAGGGGCACAGACACCAGTCTGTACCACAGACTGCTAAAGCCTTCTGCAAACAGTGGGCTGGTATTCCAAGACTCAATTTTTTACCTGGCAGAAGGAAAGCAAATCCCTTCCTGCCACTTTCAGGACTCGGAGCTGTGAATGTTTATGAACCTAAGGAGCATTTGTGTACTCAAGTAAGTGGTTCTGCAGAAGTATCCAGGACAAAGCTTTACAATAAACCATGTCCCCATGCTACACTTTACACTTCAGTCATCTAATGGCTTGCTCTGATATATGATAACCCTTTATCAAGCCTGTCAGATGCTTCATATGTGCTTACACTGGTGAGATATTACTGCCCATCTTAAAATGCTTTTAAAGAAACATCCATGAAAATATTAAATTTGGTTCCATCACATCATTATTTTACTTACCCCTGTCTTTTCATCGAAGATTTTGATTCCCCCAAAGGAGACTGTTAAGAAGATTTTTTGTTTATGTTCTCCTTTCGAACGAGCTGCGGCAACAATCCCCTATTGAAACAAAGAACAGTTTGGCTGGTTTCATTACCCTTCTAGGTGCCACAGAAGAGCACAAAGATTTGCTTGTGGACGATTCACCACTTTTCTAGGAAAGCTTAAGGGCTTTCCAAGAACAGCCTGGCTTCTTCCATTTTTGCAAGGTATCACATCTCTTTATGCTACCCAGACAGCATTTCAAATGTGCTCCCACTTCTAACCCCTGCACTAGCTAATCCTCCATGAAATTTGTTTTCATGGCAACCGAAGGTCATTTCTAGCATACTTTCCAAGCTATAAGCTGTTTTGGTTTTCTTTTGGTGTTTTGTGTTGTTTTTTTTTTTGTTGTTGTTGTTGTCCCCCCCCTAAGAAAAAAAAAAAACAAACAACAAGCAGTGGAGGAAAAAAATGCCAACAACTGTAGGTTACCTCATGAGCACACTATTCTGCAATAAGTGAATTGAGCTTTTTATAGAAGAACATTCTTCTTAAAGTCAAACTACACCTGTATTGTAAAAAAAACAGTATTGAGGGTTAGGTTTTATCTTGATCTCAGGCTTTTACTTTGTAAGTGAACTTGCTGATACGCATCTCATATTACTCTCCCACAATGTAAATACAATCGTAACTTCTACTTCCACTTTCTCGGGAGCCTGCCCTGACCAATAACACTGTACTAAGATCAAATACAATCAATTGCACTAGTAAATAAATGAAAATATTTAGCCTTTATCTGGTGCTCTGCAATTTCAACATGTTTTAACAACCACTAACTTACATTTTAAGACCTTCATGAGATAGTTGTTCTCATTAAACAGACATGAAAATTAAAGAGAAAAAAAGAATAATTTGTCAAAAGTTACCTCAAAACTTTATGCTTGGCCTTAAAACTCATGTTGTTGGACACTAGGTTTCCAGAGCCCACAACCTGACACCACGCTGCCTTACATACAAACATGAATTTCTAATGCTCCCTTCCCTTAATAGTTTCAGTCATCTCACAACACTGTTTAGCTCAATCTCGCCACTTTGCAAACAGGCATCAGGCATCTGGGAGATGTGGAAATGCTAATCCATGGAGAAAAGAGACAAAAAGGCTTGTGCAGCAGAACAGTGACAACTCTCCCAAATTGCTTCTAGGAGCTATGAAATTATGAGAAATATCCAGTATACAATTAAATCAGAATAGGAATATTGTGGCAGATGTGATAAATCAACAGCATACCTTTTAAAACAGATTAGTTTTTACTTGTCATAAAATGTTCGTAACAGATTTGTATATTATCTACCAGACCTTGCTTTTAGATTGCTGAACCATAAGATGCGTGTCACCCTTTGCTGTTTATTCATGAATAGCCACCTATTCCTCCCAGGTCCTCGGGACTGGAACCCTGCTAGTTGGTGGTGAAAAGATACTATTTAGTGATTTCTCTACCTGAAAAAAAATAGTAATGGGAAATCCATCAGTTCTCTTGGCTGACTGCTGGGGAAAGGACTGGAAGGAAAAAAAGGGGGAAAAAAACCCCCAAAAACGCATAAGGTTTACTCCTAGACCTAGCTTGTAACCCTGCAGAGCAGGTGGAAAGACAATAGCCAACACTGCACTGTCCTTCCTTTTCAAGCTTCCCTCCAGCTCTTCTACATTTCCCAGGGCCACATAAAGGATGTTTCCTATAGAGAGCTTTTACGCTCTTTAATGGTTGTAAGGAAAGACTGAGCTAGAGAGAGCATACTCCAGAAAGTCCACCCTCCTACACTACTAGCGCTTTCAGACTCTGTCTACTCTCTAAGTTTGCAGCCTAGTCAAAATCTGCTTTTGTCACTGTTCCATTTCTCTCTCAAAACTCTGGGGACTCTCTTTATCTTCTCATGCTCTGTCCTTGCACTGCACTGCCCTCTGATTTTATAACCCATCAATCCTGCCATTACAGGTGCAAGACATTCTCCTCCCAGTGAGGACACCAGTTCCCCCCTGTATCTAGGTACCTACCCCCCACCCTGTCACTCACCCCCTTCTGCCTGTTCCAACAGGAGATAACAGGCAAAGGCAGGGCTGCAGCTGACTAGCACTATCACATGAAATGTTCTGATATACCATTTTTCTTCATAGTGGTTTACCTCCTCTTTTGCATAATAAAATTATTCAATTTGCAGATGTGTTGTTTATAATTTGTGGACAAATTGCAGTGGTGTCTTTCATGAATAACTACTGAACTCAGAGATAATGTATTAAAATTAAACTGGGATAAGCAATACCAGCCAGGAGTTCATGTAAAATTGACTGATTTCATTACATAATTAACCAGAGTGAGACTTAGTGTCATGAAAGGAGAATGAGTACAAGTTCAAGCTGAAATTTGCTCCCCTTGACTCCATAACATTAAACATTAAAAGCTTCACTGTACCTTGAGCTTCATCATGGAGTCTTGACATAACTTGTCTCCTCGTGCGGCAGAAACCTCATCTATCCCAATCAGTTTTGCTTTGTATCGGACACCGTCACCTTTAAACCTCTTTATTAAAGTGGCTTCACTGCGATCCTGACCTGAAAAGACATAATGGAAACACAGAAATTTACTGAATGCAAAGGAAAATAAATTAATGAATATTCACAATTAAGTGGCAAATTAGATATAATTCCTACTTCAACACCTAAACATGCAAATATTTCAATAAAATTAGAAGTACTAGTTCAATAAAACCTTTTGGCCTTACTGCCTCAAATGAATTCACAATGGAATTGTTGCCACACAACATCTTCTGCGTGAAATTTGCACACAAATTAGGTTTACAGAAATAAGAGATAAGCCTGAATCAGACCTCATGGATCTGGAAATTTCTGATCTGTACGGGTTGTTTTAAGCCCAATATGCTTGAGAATTCTTCATTTTGCAGACAAACCTCTAATATAAACATGCTACTATTTCCTGTATACTGACTTATCTAACCGTATCGGCAATATTTACACTATTAACATCTGAATGATGGAAAAACCAATTATACTATTTGCCTATAGAATATCACTGCTCTAAAACGCCCGCCTCCTCGTTCTATTCTTTCTGCTTATAGACATATACAGAAACATAACTAGCGAAGTTGACTCTCACAGGCTCACTCCAAGAAGCTTAAAAAAAGGCATACGATGTTTCTTAATAAAAAAGAGATCAGGGATAAGGTGGCCAATGGACATAAACTACAAAGCTCAGACTAACCTGAACCACACGACGATGACACTACAGCAATCCATGAAAGGGACACCTTTGTCAGGAAGACTTTTTTCCTCCTGAGTATCTGCAGAAAAGTTTACACTGTCTTAGCTGGAATCAGACTTCCTAAAATTGATTAAAGATATATTTTGCAGCTGTCTGTGGAATTTCTTGCTGGGATCTCAAAAAATCAGCAGTGAATTGTAAATAATTGCAACCAAACAAGTAACCAAACAAACAACATCCATGGCACAAAGAAGTAAGCAAAAATGTGAGATCTTAAAGAATTCGAAGTTTCTCAGACCAAACAGATTCCACCAGAAAACTTGCCTGAACGTAGACGGACATTGCTAAAATTAATACTACTACTGTAATAAAGAATGGCTAACTAGCTTTTAGAAAACTGGCTTTTAGAAAAGAACTGCTGACCAGCCTTTAGAGATAGGGAGGGAGGCCGATTTGTACTAACCGTTACGCATATATCCATTGCGGACTAACTAACACTTTAAAGATAAGAATGCAGCAGAATCTGCCAAGCAAAGGACACCAGATGGAATCCTCCAATCAGACTGTGGGGCTCAAGGAACACAAAGGACTGAGCAGGAGAGATAGCGAGGGCAGCTAGCAAGAGCTGGTTCTCCGAACTGGAAAAGACCCAGGATGGTACAGGGCACGCGCCACAGGACAAGTTCCAAAGTTCAACCATGAGGAAGACTTGGACCTTCATCCCCAACAACCACCAAGGACCCCTGACGGGGGCGTTACTTGGGCGGACTGAGGCGGGACTATGGGAGGAACTTATGTTAATGAATTCCTGGAAATAATTAGAATACCCAACCTTTTCTTAGAAGTGTAATGAATAAACATGAAAGCTGTAAATATAAGGCAAGAATCCTAACGCTTGGGTGTGCACGTATGGAAGGAGCTATTCCCAGTGCTGCCCGGCACCACAATGAAGAATACCTGCCTAATAACACTTAGTTGTTATTGAGTTTTCTCGGCTTCACTACCACCTAGGAGCTCCAGTCACAGATTTGACCCCATCCTTCTAGCTATTGTAAAAAATTAACAAAGAGCTAGAGTCTGCTATAAATGAACTCTGGGTAAGAATCTAGTCTTGGACAACTTTACAGGAGATTTTGGCCCAAATTTTCTTCAAAGTTCATTCCTATTTGAAAGGTAGGATTTAAGCACCGAAAAATTAATAAAATCTGCTTCTGTGCAGCTGGGTTTTGATAAGCTGAAGTACAGAAGCTTCGGGGGGAAAAAAAACTTTTTTGATTTGCATTTCTACTAAGAGCACCTTTTTCAGCAGTCAACTTTGTAAGTGTTACACACCCACCAAGCGGCTGAACAAACTAGGTTCAAACTATGGAACTGAAATTTTTACAATACCGTTATATGAAAAAGCTAAAAGCATATATGACCAATGAAGAGTAGTTCCAGATGAAGATACTCATTTGGTTCTCCTTCTCCCAGAGTACAGCACAGTCCACACTGTGATCTAATGATGGATCTAACGATCTAAACGTATGTTAAAAAATACAGCTATTTTAAGCATATCTGGACCTTCAAGTCTGTTTGAGCACACAAATACTATTTCTTTCAAAGAAAAATACCAGCTCAGAGCAATGTTTTAGTGCCTCATAACCTCTTAAAAATAAGGCAGCTGATAAGTGTTGCTGTGATAGTTCAGCAGCCACCCAACTGTGTTCCCTTGATTCATTTCTGCTCCCTCAAAATAATTAAATAGGGTTGAAATTTCATGCTCCTACATCATGTTTTATTAAAAAAATTTTAAAAAAATCTAATAGGACACAAACGATAAATCAAGAAACTTGAAGTAGTGCTAGTATCATTCCTCAGGGAAATGCCAAGGCAGATGTTGGCACCATTGAGTAAAAACAATGAAAAACCATTTTCCACTTTTAGCCTCCAGAGTGGGGCAGGAGGGAGAACATCTGGAGACACAATAAAGTACAACGATAACAGTGGACTTTTCCATATGTCTTTTATACTTGCAATGATATCCTGTTGATTTGCAGTAAATAAAATCCAATTCCAACAGCTTTCTTGCCAACAATTTTCAACCTTACATCTTCGTTAGAGCCAAAGGCAGCTGTTAGCTAATAGCATGAGCATGTAAGTGTTCAAGAGCGTTTCCTGGGTCTGAGTCACGACAGCAACCTTGCATTCATCAGTTATTTGAACATTTATACTTATTCCAACCTCTGATCTATTTTGCTGCACGGAACTAACTCCCTGACATTAATAGCCCATTGAAACACAACTTATGGCTACGTTTGCTTACGCACAAATCCCATGTCAATTATGACCCAGATTGAGTAGGATAAAGTGCTTTTGGGATAAATGACTGGGAAAAATCATCAACCTGAAAATGATGTAGATATTTGAAACTGCAGTGGAAACTGCAAATTACTAGAGCCTACAAATTCATCCATAAAACCCTAGAGCATATGTCCCATGAAAAAGCATAGAGAATGCACACACACGCTGCCCTATATTACAAATCAGCTATCTGCAACAGTCATTATTTCTCAGCATATATCCAGATCTCCCCCAGTCTAGGCTCATACTGTGTTTCTAAATTTTGGTGCTGTAATCAGCACTGAAAAACTTTCTACCTGCTTGGAAAATTACCATATGACAAACACTGTAAGTATGGTCAATTTTATAGCGCCCATGAGATGTGAGATTTATGTGAGGTGACACTTCGTTTGCACACTGGACACTTAGAAGGCAGATAGTCCAGACTCTCATAAATATCTCATCATTAAAACAAAAATGTTTTTTGTTTTTAATGACAGATCTTGCACAAGGTTCTTTCTGCATTTGAAACTGCATAAATAAGAGATGCCTGAATGACGAGGCTGTAATTCTTCTGAAGCTTTGGAGGAGAGTGAGCAGTAACATTAAACCACTAAACCAGAGAGCTGTGCCTGTGCCAGAAACCTGCCCAGGAAAGTGCTACCTCTTTCCTTCCACGTAACAAGCAGAGTCAATCTTTTCTTCTTCGCAGCTCCTGCCTTTGTCAGAGGAGACCTGCTGTCATTCTCAGCTCTCCAGCCACCCCCTGCCGCCACACTTGCTTAGTCCCAGCCTGCAGGAAAGAGGATTATCCTGGATGTGGGGCTGCATTTGCTGCTGGAGTTCAGTTTTATTTGAATAACGAGAAACCGCATCTTGGGGCTTTCACTCCCAGCTTGCCTTCTTCAAACTACAAATAACATCCGAGGGTAGGAAGGTGGACATTCACAAACCAACTAAGAAGATTTTATGGAAAACTGAAGCTTGAAGTCTCAAATCCTTACTAGACCACAATCTACAGCACAATTAGAAGCACATGTTTAATGAAAACCACTGACAACCACTTCTTTCCGCGACACATTTCCTGAGATCTCATTTTAGGATTTCTTGACTAGAGAACATCACAGCTGCCAAAGCCATGTTGGGTGAGAGCTGCTGATGCCCATCCCAGTTGTCCACCATACACTGCACAGGTAGGGATCTGCTCAGAGTTCTTCTTCAGAGGAACAGCACCACTACGTCATTCTAAAATAATCCTAAATGAAATTCTTGTACTAAAATTTTAACTTCAAAACCAACGGGTATTTTCCAATGGTTTGCTCTAAAATGCCTTCATAAATTGCTTTTCATAAGCAAAGACATATCCCAAGCACCTGTTTGCAACTCAACGCAAGCACTTTACAATCCAAAATGGAACAAGATCAACAAAACTAAAACCGATTTGATCCTCATGCCCCAAACTGAGGAAAAAATGCAAAAGCTAAAACCCCACTGACAACATCATCACATAAATTCAGTTTAGAAAGGTGGTCACTTTTTAATTAGAAAATGTGCCCTGTTGATATGGGCAAAGAGATGTTTTCTTTGTAGCATATAGATTTATAATCCTCAGAGACCCTTAAAATGTAAATGTAACAGTAATTATTTTATCTACTTCTATAGATGTCACCGTTCACCTTTAAGCTATATGTGTTTCAGCTGGACTCACTGCTTCTGCGTACGTAGGAAAACATGACCTTTGCTGCTGGATTGTGACATTGCACTTGACCCTGCACAGTCTTTTAAGAGAACAATAAATCCCCAGAACTGGGTGATGAAATGTGCTTCTGAGCTTGCATCTAAAGTAGAGAGAGGTTTATCATCATCATCAGCGTTAAGGTACTTTATCCATCTCGCTAAAGGTACTGTAGAAGTAATAAACAAGGTTTTTAGCACAGTCAATCATTTTCATTCGAGGCAATATACTTTAATTAAACTAAGGTTCCCTCAAGCAAGCTAGACACAGACCCAA